GGTGTTCAGTATATCCCAAATCAAAGAGCTAGTTCGAGAGAGAAAAAGACAGCTAGTTGGCTACCTCCACACAATTTCTGTAGAGCATAAATGACACTTTTTCCATCACTAATGTCCAGTTCTGGGGCTGTTTTCTGTGGATCTACTATCTCCTATACCATCATATAAGAATATAACCGTGCCCGGTAACAGACACATTCTGTAGCGGAAATCAATCAACAGTTTCAAAAGCGGAGTGCTTATACTAATCTTGCAGTATAGACAATGTCGTGGAAGATACTTCATTTCCAAAACAACCATATCCGAAGGAGGGCTTAAGATTGGGCTCTCTTTAGTTCCCTGGCGCTTCTCTGATGGTTATGGGAATGTGGAAGTGTTAGGTTTCAAATATATAGTACGAAAAAAAAGAATGTACTAGTGCAAATCCGATGCAACTGCATCTTATTGGAGTTCACGAGACTTAATTAAGCTAATTTAATTTCTTCGGAAACATCACTTCGACCATTGGGCTTGTGCCTTTTAGACAGTAAAATGATTAATACTCCTTCTAGATTTACACACTCGTTAATATATTTATTACTTCTTTCATTTCAAAATATAAGTCGTTTTAGAGTATTAATTTTATTTTATTTTATTAATTATTCTCACTTTTCCATATATTATTAATATTTTATCTTTTAATTTTACCCTTTTTTACTTAATAATTACAAAAAGTTAACTGTTTGTTTCTCAATTTCTTCTTCGTCGGAGAATCAAACTTCAGAGTAAATGCATCCTATCTGTGACCATTCTGTGAAATAAATAGATAAAAAAAGAATTTATCTAACTTTTACTCAATATAGATTAAAAGTATATTAAATACATTTTTTTGTCATAAATTTGTATAAAAAAATAAAAATTAATATTTAATTTATTAATTATCTAATTAAATTTATTTGATACTACAATTAATATCAATTTTTATATTTTTATACACATTTATTATAAAAAAATATTCTTAATATGTGCTGGCACAAGTTAGAAAAATTCAAAAAAAATCATATTGTTTCTTTTTATAGAACAATTTTGGCGAAAAATCAAAGAGTAACAAAATCAAAATGAAAAAAAAAATGGCATAAGAGAACTGCATATGAAGCGCAATTGAAGCTGAAATGAAAATAAAAGGACATTTGAAATTGCAAAGGAGAATATTTTGGCAGTAATGGAATTGAAAAAGTAGTACTCAAGTAATTGTGGAGATAAATATGCACAGGAAATCATCTTTATGCACAGGAAATCATCTTTGATCTTTTACATTATCCAATAAAAAGAGAATCTTATTTGATAGGAGGCATAGGCAGATCAACTTTGTTTTTTAGATGAGAAAATAGTGTAGGTCGGAGATAAAAGGGTAAATTAGTCAATTTAAAGATTATTTTTTTCAGAATTAAAGTTGCTAATTGCATTTCTTAATATCTTTAAAAAAACTCCAACTTATATTTTGAATGAAATGGAGGGAGTAAAAAATTATTATTTTTAAATTTAAATTTTAGGTGAAAAAAATTTTTAATTACAAATTTTAATAGATTAAATGTTTTTACTTTAATTTAAAATTTAAAACAATAATTTTAGAATAATTATATTATAAAAAATATTAATTAAAAGTATATCAATCATGGTCACTTATAAAAATCCCCTATGGGTTACTCCATCCCACGCACACTTGATTGCACATGTAAAACAATTTTAAATTTAGATGGCTACCAGTCGATAGGAGAAAGTTTAGAATATCACGGGTTTACTATATCAGTGATGTCCCAAACCAACAAAATACAATACGTCAACATTAGTTATCCAGCTTGTCAGCGTACAAATGCAAGTATTAAACGTAAAACCAAGAAGCCGTTAATGTTTGTTTACGGTAAAAAAAAGGCCTTTACTTCCCACAAGGTTTATAATGTTTCCCCTTGTTTGTGACAAAAAGCCATAGGCCACAGCACCATCGTCCACCATCTTGATTTTAGGCGGCAGGTTTCAAGGCGAACAGCCATGGGCTATCATTGATCACTATGATTAATTATACTGTGTTGGAGTCGAGAGGTGCTTGATGAAGATATATTTGGGGATCTAATAATGAGCCAATAATTGAGAGAAGGAATTTTTAAGGCACCCTGACTAAAAAGAAGAAGAGAGCATTCATGTAAAATTGGGTTTTTCTTTTTCTTTAGTTGTATATATTCTTTAGAAAAGTTTAAGAAATGAATTTCTCTTTTGAAGTAATTTAAATCTATTTGAACCCCCAAAATAAATTTGCGTTGCGATTAGGGAGAGAAAAACCAAATTTTGCTAATGTTTTGTTTTCCTCTTCACTTTAAGGTAACTCAAAAATCCTCTCTCTCTTATGCATCTGAATACCAGGATCTCCAAATCTTCATCAAGCTGCTACTTAACTCCAACACAACATATAATCAATAATAGCACAAAATGAGGGAATCCCTCATGGCCATCTGCCTCTGTAACTTTTGTGGCAAAAGATGAGGGAATCCCTCTAAACTTGTGGGAAGTGAAGTAAGCAGCCTTTTATTTTCCATTGAAAGCGTTAACAATTTTTTAATTTAACGTTAGAATGCTTGGTTCTGTATGCTGATGAGCTAGACAACTAATGTTGACATGTTTCTTCGTTGGTTTGAGTTACCACTGACGTAGTATTACTAGTATACCTGCCATATTCTAGACTTTCTCCATTCTATAGAGAATAATGGGGTTCTTATAATCCATGCCCATACCTCGTCAGAAGTAATTAATGACTCTAAGAGCGATTCTGTCTCATGCACACTTAGTATTACATTCAGTAGCTAGTTGGAAGATACGAAAACGAATGGATTTAATGCTTGAGTGGATCATAAAGGTAGCACTGTTTTGTTCAATTTCACCTATATTAATACAAAAGGAGCTATCTTAAGCGTTAAATATGCGTAAATAAGTGTTGTCTTATGAATATATATAGAGGTAAATCATATTATTGCAAGAGTTCTCTCAAATCTCAACTTGTCCAGCCAGGCGGATGAGACCAGAGAGAGAGGTAGGCTTAATCTATGCATGAGGACTGATTTCAATATCAATTTAGCTATGGTAGAAACTGAAGTATACCAAAGTAAATTCTTCTAAAAGATTCTTGTGCATAAATTAAAATCTGTTTCTAGTTTCTACCATACCATATGGAGATAGCAAATTAATTCAAGTCTTGGATTGGATGTAAACGGATTTGGAGATTTTGGAAAACAGGAAAATTGTCCATTTTTTATAACCCACGATGAAAAGTGTATCAAGCAAAGTGACGAGCAATGCACCCAGCTAAAATCTGTTGCTACTATACCGTAGGGAGATACCAGATTTGGTAAAAACAGGAGGACTATCCCTCTTGGATAATAATCCGTGACAAAAAAATGTACAAAACAAGGTGATGAGCAATATGCAAGCAAGAAATAAATAGAAAGGCAATTACATATACAATGAAAATATGCTTCCGATAATATATTGAAAAACAGAGTTCAAGTTTCTGTCATGAAATAATGTTGCAAATTTGAAACCAGAATAAAATCCGAGTGCATGGGACATCTGTAATTGAATATACTGCATAACTATTATACTAGCTAGTAATCCAAACATGAACAAATAGCCAAGGCCGAGTCGCTGTAACCTGCATTCTCGCCCTCAAAAGCAAGCATCCAGAAGGCAACAGCAACAGAGTGCCGCTAAGCTGCACAAAGAAACAGAATTTTATATCAAAACCCTTAAATATAGAACCGAATTCATCAATCATCTCCATTCTCCATATCAGTTAACCCAATTTAATGGCAGTTTAATTAGATGTGTGAGAAAAGGAGGAGAAGCAGACGGACTTACCATCCTTCAAGAAAGCCGCTGTCTTGGCGTGGAGGAGGCCCCTGTTGGTATTGCGCAGGATATGACGGAGGTGGGTATCCCTGTACTGGGTATCCCGGCGGTGGATACGCATCCTTGGGAGGATACCCTGCAGCAAGCCCAATTCCCAAATCAACAAAACCGAATAAACCCAAAAAGAGACTCCGATTTAAAACATACCCTGCGAAGGAGGAGCATCAACGGGCGGCTGCTGCTGATTGTAGTAACTCATCTTGCTTCCTTCTTCAAATGTAAATGGACGGAGGACAAAGAGAAGATCGGGGTGGTTTTATAGGGGAGGAAAGAAGGTCGGTAGGGTAGGGGGAAAGTAAGGAAGCAAGACGTTTCTTCGGATACCAAAACCGACTCTCACTCTACCTTCAACTGATGAATGCAGTTTCCGGAGCTATACTATATAATGAAAAAAGGGAAGATCCTGGGTGGAATGCACAACACTCTTTCTATAAAGATTGGAAATCTTTACACAGTTTATACGTGTCCTCGTTTTCCACTACCAGCAAGGAGATTTTTATTCCCAGAGCCGTGTAACAGCACCACACCCTATTTGATTATACCTTTCTTTTAGGTTTAATTTTCACTAATCTCTTATATAGAAAGGGTATGCTATGTCTTTAAATTAATTTATTGTCATATAATAATCTTTTATTATATGGCTCAAAAATTTCTTTTGCAATGAAGAAGTAGCACGCTCAAGTGGGCAACTTGCTTGGGGCCAGCTAACATTAGAGTATTTGGCATTCTGGTCTGGCCTCTTCACTCATAGGTTAGGAATAGGGTAGCACGAGAACATTAAGTGCACATTTAGTTTACATTGAATTCCAAAATACTTTCAAAGAAGGTGCTTGAATGTCCACACTTGATGGCCTAATGATCACTCCTGTCAGGACGTACTTAAGATTAAAGAGTTTGAAATCAAATCTCAAGCCCCCTTCTCCTTTCCTCAAAAAATTAAAAAAAAAAATTTCACATTGTTCAAAAAAAAAAACAAAAAGAGAAGGTGCTTGAATGTTCACATTTGATGGCCTAATGATCACCCCTGTCAAGACGTACTTAAGACTAAAGAGCTTGAAATCAAATCTCAAACCCCCTTCTCCCTTCCTCAAAAAATAAAAAAAAAAATTTTCACATTGTTCAAAAAAATAAAAAAACAAAAAGAGAAGGTGCTTGAATTTTCATAATCTAATTATTATAAATTGATTTGTAAGTTACATTTTTTAGGTTGAAATTAAAATTAAAATTTTTTTATTTAAAATTGTAAATTTATTCAAAATACTTTTAAAAAATGTATAAATCAGTAAAGTATAAGCTTAATTAAAGAAATATAAAAGTTTAACATGAATTTTAATAAAAACATATAGTTGATTATAAATATTATAAAGTAGTTATAAATACGATGATTTAATCAAAGAAATCTTTTCAAGATTTTTGAACTACAACATTATTATGTCAATATGTGGTTATGAGCTCTTATAACCATTTGCTACAAACGTAACCTTATATTATAATTAGCTTCTAAGCACTACGCATAAGATATGAGCTCCCATGTCGGACTTAAATAACTTCCCTCCCCTCCCTCATAAAAAAACTTTTCTTAAAAAAATTATGGAAACTGTGGCAACGTCATTCCTCGTATGCTGCGCAGTGCGAAAGGGCCAACCAAAGGCGTTGGGAAGTCAACCGATAATAATTCTTGTGATCATGGTAACCAAGAAAGTCCTCTGCCAAGGCGGTGGAAAGTTTGAATTTTTTTTTTT